CTGTGGAGCAATTTTTCTATTGAGGTGTGTATTGTTCTTCCAAATTATAAAAATTTTCACCGGGTCTGATGTGCATGGCAATTTTGGTGAGTTTTCGAGTATGTTTAGGGCCTCAAAAACGCGTGTCTTTGGCACGAATAATAATAATAATCCGAGCAGTTCCAATAGGGTCTTCGCACCCTTTTGGGTGCTCGGACCCTAATAATCACAATAATAATATGTACAATACATACAAGGATGAAAACTGAAAATGTATAAATACAGTATTAGTACAAGTGTAAGATGCAATCAGTGCAAAGAGTTGTTGTGCAGCTTTTACCATGATGATGATCTGGTTTATGTTAACATCAGTCGGTGATGCTGATGCTGTTCAGTCTCGCTGCAGTTGGGAGGAAGGACCTGCTCCTTCCTGCAGGGACCATGTCTCAGTCTGCTGCTGAAGGAGCTGCTCAAAGCCTCCACAGCCTCATGCAGCAGGTCAGAGGGGTTGTCCATGATGGATGTGAGCTTTGCTAACGTCCTCCTCTCACCCACCTCCTCTATGGGGTCCAGGGAGCAGTCCAGGACAGAACCGGCCCTCCTGACCAGTCTGTTCAGTCTCTGTCTGTCCCTGTCTGTGCTCCCTCTTCCCCAGCAGACCACTGCATAGGAAACAGCAGACGCCACCACAGTGTCATAGAAGGTCCTGAGCAGAGTCCTGCACACTCCAAAGGACCTCAGTCTCCTCAGCAGGTGGAGACGGCATTGGCCCTTCTTGTACAGGACCTCTGTGTTGTTGGACCAGTCCAGTTTGTTGCTGAGGTGAACACCCAGGTATCTACAGGTCTCCACCATCTCCATGTCCAGATCCTGGATGTCCTGTGCGGTCTGGAGTGTCTTCTTCCTACAGAAGTCAGTGACCATCTCCTTCGTCTTACTGGCATTGAGCTGGAGATGGTTCTGCTCTCACCAGTTGACAAAGTCAGTGATGATGGTCCTGTAGTCCTGCTCGTCCCCCTCAGATACACACCCGACGATGGCTGTGTCATTGGAGAGCTTCTGGAGGTGACAGCTCCCACAGCTGTAATGGTAGTCCAAGTGTACAGGGTGAAGAGAAAGGGGGACAGCACTGTCCCCTGTGGGGCCCCCATGCTGCAGACCACCACATCAGACACACAGTCCTGGAGCCTCACGTACTGTGGTCTGTTGGTGAGCTAGTCGACGGTCCATGCAGCCAGGTGACAGTCTAAGCTGAACTGTGTTAAAAGCACTGGAGAAGTCAAAGAACATGACTGTCACAGTGCTGCCAGTGTTCTCCAGGTGAGTCAGGGATCTGTGCAGCAGGTAGACAACTGCAGAGTCCACTCCAATGTTCGGTTGACAAGCGAATGAACTATTGGGAAAGACATATTCACACTGCATAAAATGTAATGATGACAAACAATCAGAGGACTGCAAAATTCACAACCTTGAAAATGCATGAAAGCTTCATGGGAGGCATGTAAAGGGTCTTAGAGCATCACAGTGGAGTCAACAGTTTGCATCTGAGCCCAGCGAATGATGAAGCTCACTGGGAGCGACATGTTGTGAATCCTGGAAGTCCTCAGCACGTCGAGCCTGTGAGGTTTTAAATAGTGATTACTTCTTTTTCTTGGGGGAGAGAAGAACGGGGAGAGATCTGCAGCAAAGGGTTGTGAGCGGGAGTCGAACCCACGACCGCTGCATCAGGGAGCTGCAGCCTGATCAACTGGGTGAGCTGTAGGGGCACCCAGATAACGATAAAAAGTGGACCTACAGAAACACAGGACTGTAGGTCATTTGAAGCATAAAGTGTTTCAGGGAAGGAAAGCAAACAGCCGGCTAATGTTCAGGCTGATGGATGGATTCACGGTGCAGGTTGGAAACTGTTCAAGAATCTGCTCATCAGTGTGTCAGCACACTGGACCAATAAACCAAATTATTACATGTAATGTCAAACTGTTTTATACAATTTATAACTAATTATCAATGAAATATTTATAAGACACATCTATATATATTCTATATGTAATTGAGGAGAAGCCAACAGGTTGTGTTGACCTGCTGCCAGGAACTGTGGGTTCATTTTCTGGTATTTCACTAATCAGTGTTACGTCTCTAAAGCTAACCTGGGCACAACACTCCCGAGTCCGCGTGAAGCAGAAACGTCTCGTGTAAAAGTCAAGATGACAGACAGCAACGGGGTTAAAAAACAGCTGGATTTATTGAAGAGTAGAAGGTTAAGACAGCATAAGCTAGACTGTACATCAAAGCGGGTCTATCTGAAGACCGCAAAGCTGGGAAGAGAAATGCTTTACGTGAATGACTGAAAATAAGACTGTTTGTGTGGCATCAAACTGAAACAGCATCATGATTGGACAGCGAAGGCAAGAGCAACAGGAGGCACTAACATCAGGATGTCTGGCATGATCATCCTCCTGATGTGGTTACAGACACAGTTCTATAAGACACTGACATTAAGAGCATCATCAGTAAGGAAGATTATTTTCACACAACAAAACACCTCGTCGTGGCTGTCGAACACTGTTTTTGCATAGTTTGGACTAAGCGACACCAGTTCCCTCCTACAGGTATTCACAACCAAACACTTCTTTAAAATGTGGCTTTTCTCTCTCGTATTTGATTTATTCTGTGACTGAGGCAACATTAATGACAGGTTCACACAACACAGGAGATGCAGTGTCAAAAACAGCAACGGTCTTAGAAAGAGGAGACGCGACGCTCGACGTGGAGCTTCAGGAGCACAAACCAAACTCAATCAACAGAGTGTGACGCCAGCGAACATCTTCTACAGAGGACCTGGTGTTCGGCTGAGGCAGAGATTTGGCATCAGAATGATTCAAACACAAAGCAGTGAAATGCTCAAACCGTCCACAGTTAACTGGTCAGAGGTGTAACAGTAGGTTGTAAACTTTCCCTCTGCTTTGTTCATCACACAACTACTCCTACCAGCAGGGGGCGCTGTTCTCCCACCGGCACCGTTTATAACAGTTCTCTGATGGAGGCAGCATCAAAACATTCACTCCGTAAAAACTTTCAGACTCACTGAGCACTTTAAGGGATGAACCACAACAGAAGACAGTGATCTACAGCGGACCAGAGCTGCACACAAAGCGGATTCCGTGGTGTTGATCTGACCAGGAAGTGTCTTCTGGGTGGAAACCATAAAAACAAGTGACAAAGTCAACAAGACATTATGTTTGAGATGTTAATAACGCTAATAAATAAATAAAAATGGCACGTCTGTAACTGTTCATATGGCATAAAACTGGCAGAAATCTTTGAGGAACACAGCTTATACTATTCCCAGCAGTGATCTCTACTCAGTTACTAGTCAGTCAGGAGTAATGGCTCAAACCACAGGGTTAGGGAGGACCTCCAACTGGAGCTGCTCACAAGACAAGGAAAAGCCTCTAAACATGTTAAAGTCTCAGCCCCAACAGCAGCATCCCCCCCATGGTCCAACGTGGGGGTGGAACGTGATGCTTTGGGGCTGTTGTTGAGCTGATGGACCAGGTCAGAGGAACCGGCATCACAAGAACAGAGGAGAACATCAGGAGGTCTGCAGGAACACTGCTCCTCCAGCACTAGAGCTTCAACAAGACCACGATGTCAAACATGCAGCCAAAGTGGTGAAGAGGAAACAATGAGGACATGCTGGGACGGCCCAGCCAGAGTTCAGACCTGAATCCATCCAGAACCTGTGGAGCAACCGAAGAGCAGAGTGATGGAGAGGAAGCCTTCAAAGATCTGGAGATCATCTCCCAGTGGAGTCAAGCAGAAACACTAAAAACATTGTTTGATGTGGCTGCAAATTCTAGGCTTTTCCTCCGTTTACTGGCAGCTGATTTAAGAAATGGCATTTTTAGAAAACAAAAATGGTCTGAATTCATGGTTCATATCTCCAACACAACGTCTTACTGTTTGTCACTTGTTTATGTCATTTCCAATCAGAAGAAACTGATCCAGATGAAATCTAAATTTGGCATCAATAGGAGGAATTTTGGACTGAAGCGTGCTGTGCTGAGAGGAGCTCAGTAATAAAGGTGCTTTCATCTGACGTTGTTCAGCTGCTGCAGTGCTGACCGTCGGACGCCGACATGATCCAGTGGGAAACAGCAGCAGAGGATCTTTCCCATCATGTGGATGTTTGTCACTGAAGCCGCTGTAAGAATCCCTTCAACACTTGTGGGGTGGAGCTGAGCATGAAGGATGTTTTTCTGAAATATAACACTGCGGCTTTAAACTTTACTGGCTGACACAGACTGCGTTGACAGGGGTTAGATCATTGTCATTGAACACTGAAGCGTCCTCATTAATGGGATTAGCTTCAGCTGTAAACGGTCTGCTGGATCCACAGCTCAGGACTGTGAGGAGATGTTCTGCTCCAGCTTCGCCTTCTGTGGACACCATGCTGCAACACTGTTCAGTAAAGGTTCAGTACTAAGAACTTTTTCCTGTGCAAGCTCAGTTCTGATGTGACAGACTCCACGAGTGGAAACAGTGTCATCCACACACGCGTGTGAGCCATGATGAAGCGTCTGACTGCTGTGACTGCATGCTTTGGTCTGGCCTGAAGCGAAGACATGGCATCACTGTCTGAGTCCAGACAAAGAGGAGGCTTCAGCTTTAGTCCGACCAGCAGAAGACACAAGCTTTCTGTGTGACAGAGTCACACTGCCAAGTCTGAGGAACTCACCAAGCTTCAGTTCAGCTTCCTCTTTTAAACACACACCAAAACCCGTCATGTGACCACACTGCTTCATGCTAAGAGTGACAGCAGATCCTCATTGCTTTAGAAGGACACAAGTGTTACAGCTGTTGGACGATGAGGACCGAGGCTCAGAACCAAACCAATCACAGAGCAAATGTCAGCAAGTCTCATGTCAAACTGGTTCATCCTGTGAATGACAGACACTGAGATGTGAACAGACATAAAGTCCAACAATTGACCTAAAAATAGTCTAAACTAATCATGAGAGCCTTTTCTAACTGTGCTGTTCATGAACTGAGCTGTTTTTTGCCTTTAGCTGCAGCAGCACAGACACAGTCATTTGAATGAGTGTGACTCTAATGAACTACAAATCCCACTCATTCCCTGGGCTTCTATTCATTTCATCATGTCATAAATCTGCATCATTTTTGTCTAACAGCTTGAACAGCATTCAGTAACACAGCTGATGGAGCCCAAACGTACTGATGTCCCTGAAGCCCCAATTAACTGGACAAAGCAGTTGCCAATGAAATTAGTTTTGATTAGCTGATCACTGTAGATCTGAATCTGATCACTTTGGAGACAACAAGACGTAACGTAAAGGTCAGCGATCAGATCAACAAACCCACCGAGACACGAGCAGACAAACATTTTGGCTGTGAGACGTTTTGCAGGTCACAGCGGAGAAAACTCTGTAGAGCAGAGTGAAAAGACCAACGATGTGACCTGGGGGGTATCTGGGGGGTATCTGGGCCACGTTCAGGCTAAAATAGCTTCTAGTCACTTATTCAGTCTTGTCAGAGATTAGCTGCCATCAGTAGCGATTAGAACAAGTAAAAACAAGCTGTGCTGAAGCATGTGGAACATCTGTGTTCCACCATGAACACAAGACTGAGCTTTTGGCTTAAAGTGCAGAGATGTAACAGCTCAACAAAACGCTAACTTTGCTACTTCAGCTAGCAGCATTAGCGTGGAGCAGCGCAGCCGCTAATCTGCAGGACACATGGAGGACTTTGGTGTTCATGTTCTCAACATATCTGGAGGGGGCTGAGCAGTAGGACTGTTTCCTACAACAGCAGAAGACAAGCCAACAGACGCCTGCTTTTGCTGTCAATAAACACCATACAAGTATTCAAATCATAAAAATAATGCTCAGGGTCGTACATAGACGTCTGTGAGGGAGGTTCAGCTGTTAGTACTGAGCGTGAGGTTGGTGTGAAGGAAACACGATATATTAGACATTAGAAAGCAGCTGGAGGACAAAGTGAACTGTACATACACTTTATACAACAATGAGAGCAGCCTCAGGGACACACCGGCTGACTTTATCCCTTTTCTTTTAAACTCAGGATGTGTGGAAGGGAGAGACAGGTACCTTTTAAAAAATAAAAATCATCTGTATAATACACAACACTTAAGTTGGCAACTTTACTCAGAGGAAGGAAAACATCTGCAAAGAATAAAACAGCTTTGTCCACCTTCTTCGCTCAGGTGGATGTGGTTCCATGTGGCTTCGGTACAAATGTGACCATCTTCAACCTGGACTACATCATCAGTCATCATTTAGAACTGATGCTAGACCAGATGAGACTTTTTGAACATTGACTTTTGTTTTCTTGTAGACGTCACAACAAAAGTTTCAACAGCTAAGCTTCCAGCGGTGGACAGAAGGTTTGTTAGGCTGAGACGTGCAGCACTGATCCCAGAATTCAGCATCACTGAAAACTCCTGGTCATCCACAAAGTTCACATCAAGACACTGATGGATTCAGCACCTGCGATGGAAGTGGACACACGGCCTGTTTCACTACGACCACAGTGCTCCGAGTGTCTGTAACACTGACTGAGGAGCTGTCAGGCCCCGTAGCAAGCCAGGACAATACCATCAGGACTGTTCAAAGGAACCTCATCAGAGAGCCAGAGTCGTGGTGTCACCATGTGGTCTGTCTGGATGACACTGTGTGGGAACAACAAATGAATGCACATTTAAAGGCACGCTGAGAACATGGCAGTAGGAATGACACCAGATGAGGTTTTGGGCAGTGAGATGCTGCCAGCTCTGGACACCTTCTTCACCCTCCATGCACCGATCTGTCGGCCTCAGTGGCTCATCTCTGACCTGGTAAGTCTTTGGTTCAGAGTTGTGTTAAGTGCACTTTGAATACACTTATTTACCTGCTTGCAGTTTGCATATTCACTAATTAATCATTCTCACTTGTAACTAATATGTCAATTATGCTCTTAAATCATCGGTGTTTGGTCAATGAAACCTAAGAAGACTGTGGCCAAACAGCCACGATGATACCCTCGGAGTCCAAGCTAGCATCCTCAAATGTCTTGTCTTCTCTGAGCAACAGTCAAAAATCCAAATATATTCAATTTACTGAAACAATACAATGCACAACAAAGTCCCACGTTTGAGAAATTGGAACCATGAAGATTTGGCATCTTTACTGGAAGAATGACTGAAAATACTTGCAGCTGAATGTCCTTTTGAGTGATGCTGCAGCTTTAGGCCTGGTCATGTGATCCCATCAGGCGCATTAGTACCAGTTTTAAAGACCAGACAGCACGTTAAGTCCAGGTGGAAATGGAATTAACATGTGATTCATGAGGTCTTTTTGTCCAGACCCTGATGGGAACATATGCTCCAGGTTGAAGATGGCTGGAGTTCTGCTTTTGAAGCATAATCTTTTCTGCTGACACATTCAGAAAAAAAAAAAAAACAACCCACAAATCTGTCATGTGACTCGTGGAAAGGCCGAGGCATGAGAGTTCTCGATGGCTTCAAATCACAGAGAAGTGGTTCATAACGCGCCCTGAGAAACAGCAAATCACAACGTGTCCCCCTGCAATAGCCTGTTAACGTGGTGCTCTAAGTGGTTTAATCATCTGTCTGCCCTCCCCCCACCCCCCAACCCCCAAACCACCACTTTAAATAACTGTAACAGAGTCCATCAGCAGTCACAAAGAGTAAACCCCTAACATAAGTTAAAGAAAGATGCATAGGTACATACAGTATATTCATATATTAGAGAAAGAAAAACATTGATTAGAAAACTCAAATTAAGTGGAATTTGCAGCAAGAGCTCCTATCTGTGTCTGAGCGTTAGCCCTGTTCTTTCCTGTTCTCACAGGAAACCGCCCCCCAACCCAGTGATGTCATCACCAAGCGCCGACAGAGAGCAGGTGTAAAACAAAAGACAAAACTCAGCAGGTTCTGGAAAGACGGAAAACACCTGGAAACAGTTGCTGATATTGTCAGCACCTGCTTTCAGCTTCAGAACAACCGTCTCCCTCCTAGAAACCGTCAGAGCAGCAGAGGACAGAAGGCCGTGTTGACGGCAATCAGAGCAACTCGTAGGAAGGAAACACCGTAACAGAAGCTGGGAGGTCCACTGCAGAGCGTGGGGTTGGACAGTGAGTTCTAGAGGTCACTTACAGTGGTTCGAAAGATCAAGGAGAGTGGAGCTCCCAGCCAAAGTCACAGTGAACAAGCTCAGGAAGGCAGAGAGCAAGCGTGGGGGGTGGTGCTAGTAGTGGTGGCTTATTACAGTCAGAGTTCAAAAGTGAGGAGCAGGTCAAAGTCAATGAGGAGGGTGAATGTGAGGACGCCGCTCTGCTCGAGGAAAAAGGCACTGAAACCCATTTTCCATCGCCCTCCTCCTCCTGGTCAGTTCCCTCATTGCAGCATCAGCTGCTTGAGGTTGTCGTGCAAAATGGTGTCTTTGACGTCACGGAACACCAGCCGGATGTTCTCGGTATTGATAGCCATGGTGAAGTGGTGGTACAGGGGCTTCTGCTGTTGCTCGCGGCGCTTTTTGCGAAAGCATTCGACCAGGAAGCGCTGCACATCCGCCAGGCTGGTGGGGTCGCCCGAGAACTCAGGGAAATAGTCTTTGATGGATACCTGCTTGACCTTCTCCTCCAGTAGGTCCGTCTTGTTGAGGAACAGGATGATGGAGACGTTGCTAAACACCCGGTTGTTGACAATGGTCTCGAAGATGTTGAGGGACTCGCTCAGCCGATTAGTCTGCCGGTCCTCCATCAGAACCTGGAGGCAGATATGTGTGCTGAGGTCAAAGTGTTTCTGGTCTGAGAAGTAGGTTTGTTGAGCTCTACTTAGCAAAGAGATCAGTGATAAAACTGACTTCTAACAATGGCAAACTTTTCTCATAGCTTTTTACCAGTGCAGGAACATTACCAGGAACCTTTCAGGAACCCTACCTCAATGTCAGCTATAGGAAAAGGGTCCAAACTGGGTTCCCTGGCCAAACGAGAACCCATGAAATCCAGACCACTGAACATCACCGGGCCTTGATCAGGTGGCCGGTGTGCTCTCCTGGTATCTTTGTGTCTTCTTTCTCCACAACTTATTTTCTGATCTACAGTTACTGGTCTCACCAACCTGCTCAATGTTTATTGTTTGTAGTTTCTCTGCGCTCATCTTGTCTTTTTCCACTCTCCTCTCGCCAAACTGGTCGAGGCAGTTTTTCCTTCCCTACCACTACCTATCACAAAGTGCTGCTTAAGGGGGGGGGTGTAAGAAGTTGAAAGCAAAACAGTGCAGGTATACTAGCTCTATAGATATTACACTCTAGATTTCAGTGAGGTGTTGGTGCTGCGTTGCACTGGGAGGCTTCCTGCTGACTCACCTGGTCGTATTCAGAGGATGACACGAGGAAGAGGATGGAGGTGACGGAGTCAAAGCATTCGAACCAACGTCGCCTCTCAGAGCGCTGGCCGCCTACATCCACCATTTTGAAGGGTACATTCTTAATCTCAAAGTTGTACTCGTGGATGCCCTTCGTAGGCTTTCTGGCCAGAAGGATGTCCTGCTGGCTGGGAAGGTAGTCCTGCAATTACAACATTGCTTCGTCACAGAAAGGTTTCCACGGGTTCAACAATTTCCATCCAAGTTTTACACCAAAACGTCTCAGCACAGCCTCATTTACAATGACACACTTGTTGCTAAAATAGTGGATTTTTCATGGTTCTGTACTTATCTGGAAGAAGTACTCACCGTGGATATGACTGATAAAAAAACACAAACATTTCTCGGTTTAGTAGAGAGAACTCTTACATCATCATTTGTGTGTTAACTTGCATTTTTCAGTGGAAATGCTACCTATTTTTTTTCCACACTCTTCTACCGTGTAGTTCAGGGGTCTCGAACTCCGGTCCTCGAGGGCCGCAATCCTGCATGTTTTAGATGTTTCCTTCTTCCATCACACCTGATTCAAATGATCAGGATGGTTATCAGGCTTCTGCAGAGCTTGATGATGAGCTGATCATTTGAATCAGGTGTGTTGGAAGAGAGAAACATCTAAAACTTGCAGGATTGCAGCCCTCGAGGACCGGATTTCGAGACCCCTGATGTAGTTTCACACAAAATCCACGATGCACGGAGCACAAGATTCATAGAACGTGACTCATAAAACGTGGCTTAACTATGTGCACACTTTGTTAGGAAACGTAGCAGCGTTCCTACCATAAAAAAAACAGACAAAAATAAAAACGAAAGCTTCTCGGTGTATATTGGGGAAACGCTGCTGATTTATTAAACAAAAATGAAATTTGAGAGTAAACGTTGCTTCCACAGTTCTTGTTGGGTGGTGGGTGATTCTTCCTGTAACTAAACCAATGGTCCAACATTTAGGTCCAATTCACACCACAACTGGTCAACTCTGGATGTCTGAGCTCCCTCTTTGACATTTGCTGCACAAATCTCTGCAACACTTTTCATGAGTGAACGTCTTCCTCGTCCTCTCTCTGTACTGAGAAGGAGCATCTCCCCCCGTTCAGAACAGACATCACCAACTACCAGCTCCTTCTGAGAACATAAACCAGCAGCTCTGTCATGCAGATAAAGGCAGTAAACACACGGTTGCATTCCTCAAATGCCAAATCATGTGAAGAAAAATGAGGCTGCAAGAACAGCTGATGGTCTCTCTTGGTTCTTGGCGTTCCTGTTGGACCACACCAGAAATCAAACGTTTATACCTGTTCTGAATGTCTGTTCTGCAACGTGAACAGAAAAGCCATCCAGGAAAAGAGGAGAAAACATGATGTCGTTTTAGGGGGGAGAGTCCACAGTTTTCAAACAATTTGCACAAGATCACATTTTTTTCGTGGTGCAGTTTGTGTTTATGTGTTCTGTACACAGACGCCCTAAGGTGGCATCAGAGTGGGCTGAGGTTGTGAAACTATGCGACAGGTCTGGTTCTAGTATAAAGTGTGTTGATGGGGAGTTCGTCGTGGCAGGCTTTGCCCATCAAGTCAAGATGAGCAAAACAAGTGAATCTAACTGTGATGCAACATCATTACTAACCAGGAGTTGGTCTGAGTGAATGACTACACCAGATCCACATTCATAGCATTCCAGAGGTGGGGAGTCACACAGACCACACTGAACAACCGGATATTTTCCCTCCCCAGGATGTCCACTGACTAATGTATTCATACAGAGCAGGAAGAGAGCCACAGAAATATCATAAATGGTAAATGTTCTGCACTTTTCTTCCTTAGCGGCAATCAAAGCGCTTTACAACGTTTTCTCATTCACCTACTCACACACATTCATACACCAGTGGCAACAGAGCTGCCCATTGGGAGCAACTTTGGGTTCAGTGTCTTGCCCAAGGACACTTCAACTGTGGATCGAACCAGCAACCTTACAACCAGAGGCTCTACCACCTGAACCACAGTCACCCACAAAGAAATAAGAAATAAGAAATCCAGCAGAGCCAAACCACAGCAACAGTGTTTGTCTTCGCCATTCTTATTTATGGGGGTTGCAGGACTCCTTGTTCTTCTTGTGGCTGAAGATAGTTCTTTATGACTCTGGCAGAATGTTCGGGCTCACTGTTGTGATAACCAGGAAACCTTTGGGACACAGCATTGTACAGGAGTCAGAGGTATAGTGACTTGAAATGTCCTGGTCAAGGTTTTATTTTTGTTTTTTTACACCCTTGATGCAATCCCAGTCATACACACACATGGACCAAATAGTTGGTACCCCTCAGTTAACGAAAGAAAACTCCATAATGGTCACAGAAATAACCTGAATCAGACAAACGTAATAATAAATAAAATTCAATGAAAATTAACCAATAAAATTTAGACATTGCTTTTGAACCGTGGTTCAACAGAATTATTTTAAAAAATGAACTCATGAAACAGGCCTGGACAAAAATTATAAAAAAATAATGTTATAGTACTTATTAACAAGTTACTGCCTCACTGTTTCAGTTCTGTGGACTCCGGTTGCCAAGCAACGACATTTCGTTGCCAGATTGATGACTGTGTTTGTGTGCAATGACAACAAAGAAAGTCTAAGTCTCATGTCCTACAAACAAATCCAGGAAGTCATATTGAGTGAGAGGTGCCTCATTCCTTGCATGGTGCGAGTCTGGTGAACCAGGAGCATCATCAGCAGACTGCATCTCGACTGGGGTTTGACTGCTTGTTGTGAATCGTTTGTTGAGCGACGTTTGTATAAAATTTCCTGGGTTTAGTATTTCCTGTCAGCCAAACTCTCACTGTCAGAAGTCTTGCTGGGAAAAGTTCCAGAGAGAGCTCTGTCTGGAACAGTTTGGCATCCTTCACTTTTTTTGCAAACGAAAACAGGTCATGCCAAGTTCCACGCTGAACCATGAATTTCACGATGCCATGACATCGGGTAAAACACGAGAACATTTCTGAAAACTGTCTGAGTGCATCACTTCAATTTGCTCCTGTCATTCTGCTCTTTGGGATTTTGCAGAAACCTAAATACCTGCTGATGTCCTGTTTATTGCCCACAGCTGGCTGCTGTATGTCAGAGTCTTTGACTTGAATAAATACCTGCAGCGTCACACAGCAGCCAAAAGGAAAAGTGCCTCATTAAACTGAGTTTGACAAGTGCTTTAATGCCAATGGCACAGCAGTGGTAACTCCATGCACACAGGCTGGAGGTAAATGATGCACATCCCACAGGTCAGCTGTTGTTTATGGTTTACATGGTGCAATTATTGGTGCTTCTCTGCATAAACCTTAAGCTCTATCTGAGCTGTCGGGAGATTTTCATTAAGCTAAGCCTGTCATCATACACAGAACTACATTATAACGTTTTTACCGTATTACAGGAAGAAGGTTATGGAGGTGAACCTTTAGAGGACGTGGGCTGTGGCTCAGGTGGTACAGCGGTTGTCCTCTGATCACAAGGTTGGCCGTTCCATCCTCTCCACAGTCCAAGTGTCCTCCGGCAAGACACTGAACCCCAAGTTGCTCCCGATGGCAGGCAGCACCTTGCATGGCAGCACTGTGGCCATTAGTGCATGAATGTGTGTGCGTGAAAGGGTGAATGAGAAAACACTGTAAAGCGCTTTGAGTGCTGCTAAGGTAGAAAAGAACTGTATAAGTGCAGAACATTTACCACTTACCATTCAATTCAGGCTGTACTTGAGTGTACTTATTTCTGCGTGTGTTCCTGGACCTTAGAAGTGCATTAATGGAATATTAAAGCAACGTTTCACTTAACAAACACTCTTTAATAGCAAACTTTCACTTGTGTTTTATATGCTTTTTGTATTGTATGTTTTTTTTTTTTTTCAAGAAAAACTCTGCATAAGCACCTGTTTGTGACCTGCATACGGCACACTGGAGCCCCAGCATGGCTCAGTTCAGGTCCTTCATACCAAACGATCTCCCTGAAACACCTCACAGCGTGACAGAGGCGCTCTAGCTGTCCCACTAAGGGGGACGAACTCAATGGACAACCACATGAATGTCAAACAAAGCAGCAAATGCTCCCGGTGCATATCTGACTCAAACTCCTTCTCCGTTCTTTTAGACTGCAGCTCCTCCACCGGTAAGCTTAGTTTGTAGCTACAGGCCTTCCATTACCAGAGAAGGAAGGATCATCCAGCTGCTGACCGGCACAGGATGTCATGTTTTCTTTTGTGCTTCAGTTTCAGCTCCATGAAGAAAACTGTGCCACAGCGAGTAGTGACAGAAACATGTAACACAGGTCCAGCTGATCGACACGCAGTCATGTGGTCTCCTGAGTCACAGCAGTGACTGTGACGGGCACAAGCAACAGCAACAGGCTCAAAGCTTCGTATGAAGCTAAGATGCTCATTTCATGAAAGCAACTTGAGAACAAGTAGCAATATTCTAACAAACACTGTATTTGTTCTGTTCATAATACATGAATTGTACACTAATTATGTATTTTTAACAGATACAATAAATATACCTCTACATACATTTAAATACAGAAATTTCAAACATTTAGGAATTATGCTTATGTATAAGAAATAAGTCTTATTTGTTTCTGGACTATCCCAGACTGCAGCAGGCAGCTTCGAGGGGAAACAGTGAACACTGGAACAACCCAGTGTGGAGACGTGACTAAATACAGGAAGACGACAGTTTCACTTCTCCTTTCGAAAACTAGCTGAGTGCTATCACACCAATCTGCCCCATCTGCAGAGGGTATATGAGCGTTTGTCATTGCTGTGTGGGTGGGACTTACCGACTGTCCGAGTTTTTCCAAATTGTCCAGGAAATACTTTACTGACTCCCCCTGAGAGAAAAAGAGAAATGAGTTCACTCTCATATCACAAGGCTGTAAGCTCCTTCCACATAAACATGGGCTACATGAGCGGCACTTTTTCATTTGACACCCCCCCAATCACCTCTAAGACTCACTATAAATGCTTCAATGTGTAGAGCTACAACATACTAGAACTGCAGCTGGACACCAGGAAAGCAATGTGACGCTGAAGGCCTGTTTAAAAGCTCGATGTACACTGGTCCCATCTCAGCGGATATGAAGTTTGTTTATAGAAAAGCTGCAATGACAGCCTGAAGGCTTTGGTTGGACAACAAAAAAAAACAAAACATGTCCAACACTTTGGAAAACATGCAGGACATTTCTAACTGTTTCTGATGCTTTGTACACCCAACAATCGCTGGCCGAATACTTAAGGAATAAAAGGATGTTAAAGCCAATGGCATTCAAAAATCTGGTAATGTTTCAGTCAGTCGACTAATTTGCACGTATACGATGCATTTTAGCCATTTAAAAAAAGGGGGGTGATGTGATGATGCAGTAAAGTGATACAGCTGCTGCAGAAGATAAAGAACAGAAAGCCTCGTAATGATCCGCCGACCACTCAAGCTGCAGGCTCATTCATCTCTGTCCTGATTCCTGTCACGTGAAGACAATCTCCCCTTCTGTTCCTTGTGGGTTTGGAAAAGGTGCTTTTTCAGAACATTATGATGTCACAGTAAAGTCGTCCTGTTACATATTTATGGGACATATTCCACATTTAGTGCATGAATCCTGACAAATGGACACGTTTTATGAAGTTACACTGACCTCTGACTACCAAATTCAGATCAGTCTATCCTCAAGTCCAAGTGAATGTTGGTGTCACATTTTAATTCTCAACAGACGCTCCTGAGAAATCATGTTCATGAGGATGGACGATGGGTTAGGGTTAGATGTCTGTACTGAAGAACAACCTGAACCTCTTGCTGTAGCTGTTCCAGCACAGCGACATCAAAAGAGATGAAAGGTGTCGTCAGCGCCTGATGCAGCTTCGCTCTCATTTACTCGTTTAAATGTGCAAATGTTTATTTCAGTTTTTTTACTGGTCTAATAATCCCTCTGATGTTACCAGTTTTATCCAGCTGCCCTGAGATGCAATAGTCAGACACTCGTTAGGAGGGTCAGAGGTGACGATGGAATCGTAAAGGTTCAGCTTTCAACGAGACAAACCACGACTACGGTATCGCTGGTGAAAGTCTGAAACGTTTTCAAGACCTGCACTGTAAGTACACCGACATGTGAGTCTGAATATATCCACAATTATGTCATTTAGGTAGAATGACGACAGAACTCTGGTTAACTGATTTAGCAACACACAAATTCCAAGGATGGGATCCAAGAGGCGGTTTTCATGTACTCACTACTGTTTTATTTGGGCTACAACCTCCAGAACTCAAGTGGTTCTGTCCCCAGACACTGGTTCTGTCCACAGACACTGGTTCTGTCCACAGACACTGGTTCTGTCCACAGACACTGGTTCTGTCCCCAGACTCTGGTTCTGTCCACAGACACGGGTTCTGTCCCCAGACAGACACACTTCCTGTCAGCCAGAGGTTGCTGGAGCCTTCATCTAAACTGGTGGAGAGCAGTGGGGCACACAGACACAGGGAGGATCAGGCCTTCATCAGCTCATCAGCTGTAGAGGAGAAGCCTCCTGTCAGGTTGTCCTGCTGTCTGTTTGCTCAGAGCCCCTTTAACCCAGTTCCACAACATTCCAAAGTCACAAGCAAATAGAATTAAAGTGCTGAAGTCGTCTCCAGAATAATGCCACAGATGATTTTGGGATCATCACTGCCTCTGTTTCATAGCAATAAGAGCCTCTCCGATGGTGCTGTTTGATGGATAACAATCTAAAGACTCTACAACTTGAGTCAGACACGCAATTAAGTTGATTAACAACACAACAACCAAATTCATCCTCTTCACTCGGCAGCACTGAAGCCCTGGACAATGTCTCAAAGGCCATCACTGCCCTCAACCCCTGAAGCTTCCATGCAGCCTCAAAGGTTGCATCAGCAATTGGATAAGGGACCAGTCAGTAGTAGAGGTACTCCGGCAGGACCCTGAGGAACACTGACCCACTCCTGGCCATGCCTGGTCCACAAACAACACGCTGCCTCATGCATCAGTGAAAGTGATCAACATCAGTCCTCATGGAGACGGTATCAGGTGTTTAAGGAGAACGTTTTGTGACCTCAGTAATAAACAGTCACTGTGTTGGTGAACAAACTGTGTGATGTTGTGTTGTAGAAAGAAAAAGAAAACACAGCAGCTGTAATGTCCGACTCTGAGTTGCTCACAAAGGAAGGATTTGGTGCAGCTGGTCAGCATACTTGTGTTGAGTAGAAGTGAGCCCTAACAACAGCTAAATACTACACAGCAGGCTTCCCCTGCTGTGTAGTATTTAGCTTCAGTAAGCCCAAGCTGCACAACTCAGACTGCAGCCTGTTGTGTTGCATTAAGATGTTTTAGGTGTCACACAACAGGCTGTGAAATCCATTTTGTACAGTACAAAGTGTTTGCATTTGTGTACTTGCGCTGACCACAAGTGGATTCTACTCACCAGCTGGAACTCCCTGCGGCGATCGTAGGCGTTCTGGATGCCCTGGTCCGCCCACAGCGCCTGGATGGATGGCAGGTAGTGCTGAAAAACTTTAGGCTCCACCATACCGTGACCATGAGCCATCGCTGAACGGGTGTCAAACGCCATCATGGTGTCTCCGTGCCGCTGGTTAGATGGGTTCCCCCAAGGGATGTGCAGCTTCTCACGAGCATCCACCAACACTCGAATGCCTGAAGGAGAGAAAAGACGTGTTCCAGCTTTGATCATCTGTCTTGGTGGACTACAATTATTGGTTGCAACTACCGAACCGTTCAGTCCAGGCCCTTTCGGTTCCATACAGACGTGTACCGCGGTACGAAAGTTTTAAGACCATTAAGAACAGCCAATATACAGAACTGTTCCAGTTGTGAAACTTTAAATCTCAAGGTGCCCACAGGTGGACCTTCTCCGGCTCAGTTGCGCAGTCTTGCGGAGCTAAAAACAAGCAGGAGTTTCCAGTGGACCACAGGCTGTGACGGACCGTTTATTCTCCTGTCGGCGCTTCCCGTGTGGCTAGAGAATGGGATGGCTAATGCTAACAACAACAACAACAAGCCAGAGCTGGAAGACGCTCTGGTGTCATTAAAATCACCCGTTTGGGATCACTTTGGTTTCCTGGTGAAGTCCGAAAAAGGAGAAAAACAAGTGGACAAGATGAAGCCGTATGTCCACACTGTGCAGCGGTTCTCAGCTACGCATCCAGCAACACGCCAGACTCACACACTCATTTGAAAAGGCAGCATCCCGGCGTAATGCCCGCTGTGCTGGAGCTCTGCCTCCATTCAGTCCTTCAGTTCTCACCGCTGTCTTCTCAGCAGTACATGAGGAAGCTACAGCCAGGCAGCATCACAGGAGTGGGCTGAGCAGAGCTGCTGACAGATCAGTTCAGAACCACGTAGTGACGTTAACGATGACTCAGCATGTCTCCTGGTTCACATTAATGATGACTCAGCATGTCTCCTGGTCCACTTTAACTCTCTTTGCCATGAGTCAGGACGACTGACGCGTCCTTCGTTGCGTCGGTCATGCTTTTCATTTATGTTGCATTGCTAAAGTTGTGCTAACCTAGCTTAAGCTGCTCCCTGTCTGTTTATATTAGCAATAACCTCGCTGTAGTTATGCCAACCTAGCACAGCATTAGCTAACAGCTTAAAGCCAATAAGGAACTGCAGAAATAAGTGTAGAAAATATGAGGACAGAACAAGCGTTCATCAGTCCGTCACCTTGTTATTAACGATATCAATGTTAATTCAAATGCTAAAGCTATGTTCTGATTCTCCATGAAGCTAACAGTGTAGATCAAATGAATGCAGGACTTGCTGGAAATCACAATATGGTGAAGACGAGCTGCTTGGTGGAGCTCTGCGTCCTCACAGCGCTCTTCTAGTCAGCCATGTTTCACAAACTTGCCGCATTTATGAACAACACCAAGCTCACATGTGGCTGCATAATGCGTCTTTCATTTGTTTGAAAAATATGTGTTTTTAATATTTATCACTGAGCTTGGTTGTTTGCAGCAGTGTCATTTGATATTGAGAATGATGCAGCAGTATTCCTGTTACAGTTCTGTACATTGTACATTTAATTTGATTTACTGAGCTGCTAACAGCTTTTTGGTTTAATACAATAAACAAATGTTTTGGATTAATTATGAGCAGGTTTTTTTTTTGGTTTTTTTTAAAATTTCCCCTTAACTGGGGCGCCGCTATAGCTCACCTGGTTGAGCGGGCGTCCCATGTGCAGGGCTATAGTCCCAATGTGGAGGTCATGAGTTCGATTCCTGCTCATGACCCTCTCCCCCATTCTTCTCCCCTACTTTCCTGTCTCGCTCTGACTAAAAACTATCCAATAAAGGCACAAAGGCCAAAAAATAAAGTGTACTTAAATGAATGGCATTGTCTTGAAAAGTGACAACGTGGTATTGATTTAAAATAACCCTTAAAGCCGACTGTTCAGCTATGAATGTGTTGACCGGTTTGTTTCAGAGGGCTCAGAGCAGACTTCTGACTAGGGCTGGACCCGAATAGCTGAACAGCTGACTATTCGTTGGGGATATTCGTCATTAGTTGGGCCAAATCTCCAGAGAACAGGAAATGCTATTCAGACCAGCCCTACTTCTGATGTTACATAGATAACATGGGCATTCTTCTAAAACCTGTCTGGATGACAATGACTTCAACTGATGTAATTTCAACAAATTGATGGAGCCAACGATGTGAAGTATCCCAGTGTGTCATACAACCCCTGGCAAAAACGATGGAATCAGCAGTCTGGGAGGATGTTCATTCAGTTGATTAACTTTGTAGAAAAAAAAGCAGATCACAGACGTGCCACAAAATTAAAGTCATTTAAAATATCAACTTTCTGGCTTCAAGAAACACTATAAGAAATCAAGAAAAGAAATTGTGGTAGTCAATAACAATTGCTTTTTTAGATCAAGCAGAGGGAAAAAATGATGGAATGACCCTGTAAATTTCCATTTCCAAAACTAACACCAGCATCAGATTAAATCTGCTCATTAGTCTGCAGTTAAAAAGCAGAGCCCACACCTCGGAGCTGCTGCACCGAGTGGACTGACATGACCAGAGGTCGGCAACCCGCGGCTCCGGAGCCGCATGCGACTCTTTCATCCCTCTGCTGCGGCGCCTTGAGGCTTTGGAAATTAAATAATGAATATTTTAAGTTAAACGTATTTTATTTTAGTTTGTTAGTTTTTTAAAAATGTAATTCTAAATTTGAAGATTTTCGTGAACTTGTAACATTAAAATAAAACATGTTTAATTTTTTTTGTCACTCAAACTATGCGTCACAGCCTCTGATGTGCGGCACCGACCAGCACCCACAGCGTTGACAACTCAGTGACGTTCTCGCTAAATCTGGCGACTTTCCAAATCCTCTTGGCAACTTTTTTTTTGGCAATAGTGACTAGCGACCAATATAGCGACTGTTTCTGGTGATACTGGAGACTTTTCTGGTGTTTTGGACTCTGACATGAAAACATGTATCACTGTGTCGTTCCTGTCCCCAGCGAGCAGCAGTGCTGTCCTGAGCTCCTCCATCCCAAAGCGCTCACAGGCGGTCAGCAGTCTGGTCAGCAGCTCCAGCTGCAGTCTGGACAACCAGACGGCATCTTTACTTTGCTGCAGGTGGATGATTTAAGATCAGCTTTTTATTTCA